GCGTAAGAGTTTCGATCAGCTCTTGCGTTAAGAGCGGAACGTTGCCATAATAAAAACCTACAAAAAGCGATTTGTATGCAAAACCTTCAGACATCATGAGTGGACGGTAATTCGAGGGCTGCGCACGATTACTTTGTATATAGGAGTGACTATTCCATGCTTCCACATTATGCGAACCTACATTTCGTCGAGAAAACGTGAAAAGAACCGAGCTAATGGTTCGGCAAAGTGCGTGGCGACTGTCTGAAATACCTTCGGTTTGATGTCGTCCACGTCAGGTGAGACGTGGCGGAGCTGTATGCTATGGGGGGGGGGCCTCAAGGATGCAGATTGGGGAATGCCTTTCTTGTGGAGGTAACTGCGAATAGATCTCTTTTGCCTTGCAGGCGAGATGAATAAGCAGTCGCGGACAATCAGCGGCAGCGTCTCAGAGCGTGGAGAGTTCTGGGCTGGTCACCTGGTTCTTCATCAAATACCACAACAGCTCGTACGGCGCTGTGTCGAAGCCAATGAGACCGGCTATAGGGTCATTGATCACTCACTTCAGAAATCAGAGGTGAGTATATAACGGAGAACGGATTAACAGCCTTACTGGGCACCGGTTTCTCTGCGGACTGCTACTGAACACAAAGAAGGCGAAGGAGTTACCCGGATGTCGACGGTCTTCGTTAATCGCTCCGCTACCTTGCGGGTTAGGTCTTAAGATTAAAGGCTCAGGGTTGGGTCCCTTAAGTCAACCCTCTTCCTCGGCCTGGGCAACCAGAAAGTTATCTGCCCACACAATACAGTAGCCTTCTAAAATTTCCAAATCCTTTCACTGACTACCTGTTTTCCTTCCTTTTTTGTTGTTGTTATCTATGTGTTGTGGTACTGCCAATTGTACATTGGTCAAGTGTTGAATAATATATAATATAATACGCCAGGTGAGCTGTGCACGCACAATGATACTAGCCTTTTCATCACATTAGCTGTCGTGAGCGATACGTGGTTTAACCCTGGTAGCGATGGAAGCTCTGTCAGAAGGGGGGTGGAATGATGATTCACTCCGGAATGTGTGGATGAAATTTTGGCGAAGCGCGCTGGCCGCCTTTTGTGTAGTTTATACCAAAGCAACTGCTGCATGTAAAACTGGGAATCCCCCGCTGCACCCTCCGGAGCTTGCTGACGTGTCTATACAGCAACTAGGGATCTGTACTGAGTTTCGCCGCAAAGTTCTGTTGGTGCCGGAGTTTGTTTTCACGGATCAACTTGACGCAGTCGTTTGGTTAAGTTGTGTAAGCATCTCAGGACTGATTACTCAGACAGGCATTGTAAGTGCGCCAGGCTGAATCCCTTAAGGCCATGCATTTTCTAGTACGACTCCTTAGGAACGAATTCACTTGCTTCAGGCGAAAGACCTTGCTTTCTGATGCATTTGCCACTAGCTCGGTGGATTGGGTGACAAACACCATCCAAGCAACCTCGGGCGGCTGCTCGGCCAGGAAGGACCAGTCGGTTTCTTGAACAAGGTTGGACAGGATATCGTAATGAGTGATAATCTAGGTTTCGTCGTTGTTCTCACTGATGTACCCCGCGTAGCAGATATAACGAAAGAGCAACATTGTGCGATCGCTTCGGCCAAGTGGTGCATCTATGGTCACGTTGCCGACCATTAGTTCCTCGTTGATGAACATAAGGTCCAAAACAGAGGGCGCGTCACCCGTTCGGAATCTCGTGGGAGAAGTGACATGATTGTACAGAGGTACATCGGTAATCACGTCTTGCAATTGAGCCTTGAATTGTTCACTGGGCGACGCTGGAACTTCGGTTGCGTGCAGGTTGAAGTCCCCCACCAGAAAGACGTTACTTTGTGCTAGTGCGAGGACTCGCTTCAGCCATTTCCAAGGTGGAAATTGGAGGGCGGTAATCTATTGCTAATAAACACACATCACTATGTCTTAGGTGCACACGGCACCAGAGAATCGACGATTTGCGTTTCTGGATCTTCAGTGACATCAACATGCAGGTCGAATCGATAATACAAAAGCATTCCGTCTCCTCTGCTAGGTCGATCGTTTCGTATGGAAGTCATGCTAGGTAGAGCAATCTCAGCATCGGTGATCTATGTGTTCAGCCATGTTTCGGTGACCATAACTAGGTCTCAAGACGTGAAGACCAGATGAATACGAAGTTCGGTTAGCGTGTTGAAAAGACCTTGTGTATTGGTATACAAGCAGGTGAGGGCATTGGTGGTTAGAAGCGTGGTTGTGAATGCCGATCCTGCTGTCCCACAAGTAGCTGGAACGGGATTAACCCCAACCACCAAGCTGCAACAACGGAGAAGTTGTTCGGCGAGTGAAATCTGAAAACAGGAACTTGAGACAGAAAGTATGCTAACGTATACGATACCCAAGAAATCGTCCAAAAACACAAAATATTGGGATCTCGGGGGTTAGGTCCTTCGCCAAATCCTACATTCGACTAGTGTCAACCCATTGCTTCCCTTGTCGTCTCTGGCTCTAGCGCTATGTCCGCTAGGTTCGTTGGAAAAGTATTTGCCGGAAAGTTACGCCATCTCATACGAAACAGCCGGACAGGCTTGTCCACCACATGTGATTTTGACAACAGTCTCACCAGCATCATGCGTTTGCGTGGGTGCTTGTGATCTACAAGCGGTCCCGGACGTGATTCCGTCGCAGCTAACACAACTATACCTTTTCTCAGCCAATTGGATCCATAGTGCTTTCAAATTTCTCCATAAAGTAACAAGGTTTTTGCTTGGTTTTCTCAAAATGGTCCTTTACGCTGTCGAATTGCATCCAACAGGAGCAACCAACCATAAAAGACGCGCACTGTTCGCTGAGTAACCAATCACAAATCAGCCGACAGCATCACCGATGATTACACAGACTGGGATGTCGTTTGATGATTCGGGATTGTTCGCTCAGTGAACTATACGTTTAACGTTATTTGCGCCCGTTGGATGCAAGCTGAGAATGTTAAGGACTATCTTGAGAGATCAACGGAGGAACATGTTTTCCTTAAGAAGGAACTTGAAGGCGTAACAAATGTAGTCGGCTAAGAAAAGGAATAGACGACAAAGCACTGACTGTACAGCCACGTTCCCCATGCCAAACCATGTGAACTATGCCTCATGCGTCGATTGAAAAAGTTGGAGATTTCATTGTCTTGCGGTCCTTCCCGTCGTCTGTTGCGATGGAAACGCAACGTGACAGTTTTTCTATACGTCTGCAAGCACGCACTCTAAGCAACGGATTAATGCTAAGTGGGTGACGTAACCACTGTCGGCCAAACCTCGTCCGCACGTACACTACAAGTGTTACGAAGTGGTAATCCGCTGGCCCTAACTTGTGTCTTTAGGCTCGGGCTCGAAGCGACATAAACCCAGGACCTTATCGAGCAGGAACTGGCCAGTTCCAAGATGATCGTGTCCCACTTCCTTTCAGTCGCTTTTGCACTCACTCCGCGACATGTGCGGTGAGTTCATTGGAGACATAATCCCCTTCGGTTCGACTACCCCCGGAAGGTCTGCAGCACCACTGGGTAACGGCTGAGGCTGCTTTTTGAGAAGATAAATCCCTTTATATGATACAGGCACTAATTATACCTAGCCACTGGCTTATTCTCATCCCCGGTTCTCGATTACCAATACACTGCCATTGGTCCAGATCTACGCCTAGTTCGTCGCAGTCCACACCACTCCTCTGCGAAACGTTTGCTCCCGTTTCATGATAATTCAGACAACGTAGTCGGTGTAAACGAGTTTGACAACAAGCTAGTTAATGATGGTACTTGACTGATTGGCTGTTTGCTAGTTCCACTCCCACTTCAATCTCCCGCTGTTTCAAACAACTTCCGAAATAGGCCCGCAGTAAGACAGATTTGACAAAAGTTCTGACCCACCGTGATGCTGTTCCGTCGTTTTCCTACCTATTCCGTAGTACGATACCGAAGCTACTGTATTGCGAACTGAACGCACAAATGTTGTTACGGTGTGCTCACTGACTGCGTGTCCGTTTGACTGTGTCGTCGGGGCTAGAGCAAACTCTCGCTGCCTAACAGTTTGGAAAATGATAACTAGTGGGAAAAGGATTCAGGGTTCCTTTCAAAGGGAAAGGCACTGTTTGTATAACAAGATACTATTGTAAAAACAGCTAGAGGACTGAGGGCGCGTAACCAGACAAAGAAGATGAGAACCAAATAAACAAAGCACTAATTGGAGGCGCACCAAGGAAAGAAAATATTATGGTTCTGGTTTGAGCAGCACTGTGATCCACACCCAGAAACAACAACCGTACACAGCCAATGTGGTTAGCGAAATGCTACGTTAACACAAGAGTCAGTGAGTAAGTGCTGGAAAACGAACTTTCCTAAATGTTTACGTAGGCGTACCCGAATAAACGTCGCTCCTGTAACACCTCCAGTTCTTGAAAAATTATTTCCACGATGGATCCACTTAGTTCCTACAACGTGATCCACTTAGGATGGCTGAACATGTTTTTCCTCCTCCGCAATCTTGACTGGTAGCAGCTTGCAAAGGAAGTGGTTGCTCTAGAGGTCAGTCTTGTTCTCTGGGCGTTCATAACATGTATGACAGTGGAGAATGAGCCGCGCTATATTGCAATTAGATATCAGTCATGGAGGTCCGCTGCCGTCGTCCATGGCTCAGTGGCATAAGTCGCTGGTTCGCAAGAGTAAGGTCGTAGGTTCGAATCCGGCAGACTTCGGCGGGTGCGCGCTACTGACGAGTCCAAATAGAACGAAACGTTCGTCTAGCGCTTTCCTGGGTGCGTCGTGACTGTCTGCTTGGGTCTAACTGCGAGAAAACTTCACTAAATCACTAGAAAAATTTACGAAGCAGATCGCCGGCGCACATGTGACAAAACCAGATGGACCACAAGATACGACAAAATTCATTTACGCACGTGTGAGTGAGTTATCGCATTGATTCGATGCGGGTGACGCCGGCAAGTGAGACAACCCGATCGTACGAAACTCACCGTGTTTGTCCGATACGGTGCATGCGCGCAATCGCCTGAGCTTCTCTGCCGTGTGAGAGTACTGGATCTATGAGGAGCAAATGGTTCGCACTGGTCAAATTGAGCCCATTTGCGCCGAGCTGAATGGGCATGAGCAAAATCCATGTGGCCGAACCGGGACAGTGGAAACCGGCAAGACGACCGGGGCAACATGCGTGACGGGGCTGAAATAAGGTGACGTAAGCGAGGCCATTCTGCTCCAGCGCATTGGCAGTGGTAATCAAGACGGACAACCACTGGGATGGAGGGGGAGAAATAAATATTGGGACGGAGTCCTCGGGTAATTCAAACCATACACTTGCACAGGCAAGTAAAATAAACGGCAGCCAAAATCTTCCATTCGATAGAAATCGACTATCGACTACATGAGTGTGTGGGATAATAAATGGAAAATATGCATCCCGAGGGAGCAGTGAGATTGATCTAGATCTACGGCATTCGGGTGACACAGGCATCAAATTGATAATCCCATGATCGTGATCAGGTGTAAGCAAGTGAAGCGCAACAAGAACAGTGAAGTCACGTAACAAGTGAAAAGTACGTGAGATGTAAGGGCGGAAGAGGAACTGTCACCCTTGCAAAGTGATTCGTAAGCAACGCTTCTGGAGTGCAGGAAGAGAGAAAGTAGACAAAATGTATTCAGGATTGTCTCCGGGGCATTGGGAAAAATACTAGTAGACACTTACACTCACCATCTCCATGTCTATGGATGAAAATGGGCTAGTTAAACAACATGCGCTTGTGGCGGTGGGTGAGCAGAGGTACACTGAGAATAGCTATTTACATGTGTCGGCCACTGCAGCCCCGATTTACCTCGGTAGTGACGGTAGTTCGCAAAAACAGGACTGTGGATTGGAGACGGGTGAAGTGTATTACCAAACTGGTTGAGTTGCGTTCCGGTGAATTGATTATGATAAGCTGAAAACACAAAGAAGTTTGAAAACGAAGATTCTGGTCGAACAGTAACAGAGAAAATTTGACCAGACACTTACAGAACTGAAAACGATAGCCTTCGCATCAGGGTCGAACTCTTTGATTTTCCTCAGACACCGGATTACTGCCTGGATTTTCGAACTGTGATCACCCTGTTCAAAAAAGGATAGGCTGCAACTGACTCAGGTAACAGAAGTAAGAATGAGTGCAGTGGGGTTCGACATTATAACACGACGCAGAGTAAGCTAACAAAAGGTGACAGCTAACAAATACGATGGACCAGGAGGAATGGGCGTGGTGATGCCAAATGGGTTTAAAAGCTTCCTTATGAAGATGACAAAACGAAAGGAAACATCACACGACAGAGGCTGGTAAGTAAGCAGCTGTGCTGCCATAGAAATGTACAAAAAATCAATAAACCAAAGGAGAGCCATTATGCAAATACAGAAGTGGAAAGCCATCAGATAATTCATCAAACGATAACTAACGCTCAAAGCAATTTGAATCGATTCAGAACCGATGACAATTGAGGAAAGATCAGATGTGTTCCGCACGTTTCATAACTCATCGGGGGACGCCCTCAAAGCGACGGCAGTATATCTTGAATAGCATAGAAACAAGTCAAGATGGTCGGCATCGAAAGATCACTCTCGAAGGGGGCAAGTAATAACGCTATTTACAAAGGAAATGGTTAGCGTAGGCGCTATAATGTGGCAAGTTAAAAATAAGCCTGCCGAGTGGACCCAGGTGGGCCTAGCCAAGCGCAACAAAGACATTTGATTAAGATGTCTCCGGTCTATAAAGACAAGGTGTGAGGCTATAGTGAGTCGATAACATTTCGGACCCTGATGGTCGCACATGCGGCCCGAATTTCGTTGGAGAAGCAGGCTGAGAGAAAGATACCATGATGCGACCACTGATGCTCTTTGGACGGGAATGTAACGGGCTCATGTGGGTGAGAACTCTGTCGAGAGCAGACCGGTGACTAGTGGGATCAAGTTGGCTACAGAAGGCAACAAAGTATCGTTGGATCTACTGAGACTGACCACAACTGGAGGCTCCAATTCATTAAATGGTTTTGAACTCTCAGGAACAACCTTATTTTGAGATCCATCGTAGTGAATAAGTGTGAGAGGACGGCGACGTCGAGCGTTGAATCCACTAGTTTCATTCGAATGAAATGGAGTACGGCACAGAGGACAACGTCGCTGAGATAGATGACCGGACGAGGCGATTCGGTCATGACATGGCAAGCATAACGTGTGCCAGCAACCAGGCAACAGGGCAAAAGTGGGGTTTTTCGGATTATGTGTCTGTAAACAAGTAGGGCATTCCAATCGGAAGGTTGTGGTCAATTTCGCATCCGGATTTTTGGTGCTTTGGTCTGCCCCGGTCACCGCTGCGAGGTACGCGTTGCGCAAAAAGCCAAAGTGACCCAAACGAGACTGCAAACGCGGCCAAACAAGTTGGGAATCGACGACGTAAGTGTGCAGCTGAGATTCAACCTGCAAATTGGAAGAAGGGGTTTAAGACGTGAGTTAAAGTGGTAGACAATGGTGAAAACGTTGTCGTACAAACATAGCGGGGGTGACATCTCTTGTGAAGGATAAAAGAATAAAGCTTACCTCATGAGATTCAATGAATGCCAGCTCGGAGGGACAATTCGCTTGAAGACGAATCACAAATTGCTCCATATCGTAATGGAAGTTCCACCACTCCTTGGTCAGAGTCAAAGTACTACTGGTCAGCTGTGGCGAAAAAGAATAAAGCTCAGCGCAGCTTAAGTAAACAACTATGATCTGATCTGAGCATTGAAGTGCAATTAATGGAGCAACCACGACTCGTGTCCCCAGCATAGTATTAAATAATGGCAGTGAGAAGTATGAATTTGGACACAGAGAATACAATGAAAAAGGGGATGGGAAAGAAAGGAGAAATATAGATCAGCATGGAATACTGACAGCTGGATGCAACAAACCGAATGCAGGAGGGCCAACGACGGTGCAACTGAGGCATATCAAATGAGGTCTCCAATCACTGGTGTGGACCCCCTGAGGTCCCCATGCAGGAAAATTGCACACACCATCCTGACCAAATCTCCCGGTCAATTTCTTCATACCGTTGTAAGATGTCAATGACTGCCATCTCACGGTTTCGTCTTATTAGGTGCACCAATAAGATATAATACACACCGAAGAAGACGGTCAACGGGTATACACAGGACACGACATAGCCAACGTAAGCGGCTAAGCTTTAGCAAACACTAGAGTGAGACAGCAGGAAATTTTTCGATAAGAAACAGCAACCAATTAGTGGACCTCGTCACTGTCCATGTGGTGTTCCCACAAGCGGTGAGCTATACTCCATAAGCACCGGTGATCAAAGATGCCCTATCTCTTTATGCAGTCAGTATGAATCAGTCAGGTTTCTAATCCATACAACGACACTGCTCTTATCAGGACGTCATACACCCTATCTATAACCGACAGGCTGATATCCCGCCGCCTCTAGAAATGGCTGAGCCCAATGGTACGTGAAACAACTTTTCAGTGGTGTGACTACCAAGGTAACTGAACCTATCGGCAATCTCCGGTGGTTGTTCACGGGTAGCAAGAAGTGATGGCGTGTAGGTCGAGTCCTGCAACAATACTTCGTAGTTTGAGTGTGCCACGCATATGCCGTAGAGCGCACCGCTATATGTCAAGGTCCATTGTAGCACTCGCATAGTTGCTGCGGTCGATCTAAGGAGAGATGTCGTCTGCATACTTAAGGTTTTCCAGTTAGTCAACTAGTAGAACTTTTACTCTGGTGGAAACAGAGAGCAGCCATATGTAAGCATTTCGGGCACAAAATCGAAGAGGAAAGTAGATATCCGACACATTTGGCGAGATCCACTTTGATTGCGGACCTCAGGAGAGCTTCCCGTGGACTCTTACCCGGCTCCTAGAGTTGAGGTAGAAATGCTTTAAGATTAATAATAATAATAATAATAACAATAATAATAATAATATGGTCACCACTGTGAAGAGATTAGCATGGTGAATCATACATGCGGAGATGCTTTACAAGCAACAGCTATCAGAAGACAGGTAAGAGAGAGTAAAACGAAATTTCCATAATCGTTAGTTAACTGCCCTCACGATGATGATACGTATTAGAAGCTCCTAGGTATAGAAGTGGAGATGTACTGCGCCACTTGACGAGTCCTCTCTAAAAGTGGTCTGTGTGAAAGCGAAAAGTAGGCAACCAGCCTCAAGGAAGAACAGATTTTATGCAATGAAGTAGCATAAAATCTTCATGCAGAACTGAAGACCGAAACTGACAGAGGTTGACCAATCTGTTATTTCGTGATTCACACTGTACCCGAAGAGAGTAACCTACTAGCCCGTTTATTTTGCCGAATCCGGTTCTGTCCCTATGTAAGGACGGAAATGTAGATGAAACAATGGTAGTGTGGCGGTGTTCGACTGAATGTCATCACACCGCTGTTCCGAAAGAATCATGGTATGATAGCCATGTTTCATTTGTGGCCCGTGCATAAATACACCATCCATCAGAAAAAGAACTAAAAAGATATTTCAATGTATTGTCTGTTTAACCAAGTAATGTAGACCAACGTAGGCCAGCATGAATGTTGCAGAGAATACTAGCAGTGTTTTGAGAATCCAGGGTTCAATCTCGCTGTGTTAAAGCTTCTGAACGATAGGAAAACAGTTTAAGAACGCAGCTGAACCATGTATTAAGTGAGCAAAAGATCAATAGCGTTCACACTTCTATATTGACCAGTTCGCCAGCTATGTTGCCGTCAGATATGGGGGAGGTTACGGCTGAGACTAAGACGCGTCCGGCAGATTATCGTATGCAAGTCAAAGCCTAGGTATGTAGACTGGGTCACTGCGTCGACTCGAGGCAAAATCGATAGATGCAGGAATGTGAAGTGAGCCTCACACAAATTCGGAAGAAGAGAGAAGAAGTGCGACATGCTCGCTGCATACAGCTGTGCACCTATAGCAATGAGGATTGATGAGTGTCGTTTAGGTTCAGGGACAGTAACAAGAAGGCGAGAGCATGGAGGAACTCACCAAAAATTCCTTGCTCATTTGACGAAACAGCTGTTCCAGACGTCGGGCTTGACGATGCCAATCGCCTTGCAAAGTGTCGTGTGGTCTCCTTTTAATTATCTGCTGACAAACAATAGAAATGGAGACAATGAGCGGGTTGCTTCTCATCATTCCGGATCCAGACCCGTCGATTTGATCAGCCGCATCAAGTTTCTCTATTTGCTCTTTCGCTGTCGAGTACCCAGCTTTAGGGCGTTCGTGATTTAGGGCGCACTGGTAGTCAATCAAAGCGCGCATAGCGATGCAGTATGCACAATGCGACTTCTTTCTAGGCTTCTGTTTACTATCTGACAATGCATCCAAATTTTTCAACTCTCTGCCTTTGTTCGCCACCTTCTGTTTGCCGCTGGCCTGAAACTCGGACTGGGTCCGAAAGTCCTCCTTTGAGTCCTCTTGACTTCGAGCACAGCACGCGTAAAAGGATTGCAGAACTGACTGATTCACGGCTTTGCCAGCCTAGATGGTCAACGGAAAGATAGTCATACACGCCAGCTATCGCGTGGTGGTTGAACTTATCGTTTATAGCATAGCACTGTATGGAAGGTCAAATAACACCGCTGGCTATAGAGATGGCCAGAAAAGAGACGAACTCAAAGAAAAAAGTCAACTAAATGTCCTGGGAGGTAATGAATATCACGTGATTAGTTACAAGTTGCTAAGAGTATAGAAGGTGCGGAATAGGGTCGTTTGAACGTGGATTGTCAGGTTAACAAACTAACGCCGTAGTAACTAAGTGATGCCATGTGAGAGCCAATGGAAAAAACGGAGTGATGTGAAGAGAAATGCCAATTCACACATGTGAAACTGCAGTCCAACACAGTATGAACTAACTTTGAATGAATGCCATGTATCCACCAATGGTTTCATCGCAGTGCGCAGACGGTGGCGTGCTTTCAGTATTTCAAGAGTTTCGGTGAGTAGCGTCGCTTTAAAGGCCTCCACAGAACGTACTTCAAGGAGGATTGTTCTGAAGGTTAGGAGATCAGTAGACGAAAATCGGTAAGTGAGAAGAACTAACGTAACACAATATGGTGACTTGTGTCCAGGTTGAAACGAAAGTATGCATTAGACGGAGGTGAGGAAAGGCCTCGAAAACGGAATGTTTGCAGGAAGAAAAAATGACAACGGTGTAGTAAACCGAACGTAGTTACATCAAGCCTGAGGAAACGGAGAAATGGATAAGCAATGTTTGATATTAAAATGTGAAGACTTAGGAGGTTAGAGGGAATAATAATTCGCGAATCAGTTAATTACAATAGTCTGTGCTATGTATTGACAGTACGCTAGATTTAACGCGGGATTTTGAAGAGGTTCATGAGGCAACGAATCGTTCGCACGCCTCTCGCTGTTGAAGAGGAAGCGAATGTACGCATACAGGAAGAAAAAAGAAGCAAGTGGGATAAGTTCCGCACACTCATCAGTTCCCGGAATTCACTCTAGGATAGCATGTTCTTTAAGCTCACCAAGGCACTTGGGACACATTCGAATGGCTCTAGCTGTGCAATGCCGCATGTCTGACGCTTACCCCCAGCATGGTACATAACATGCGAATGTGCCCGATATGAGCGCTATCGATCCAACACCCCTGTCCAGGTTACTGAGCCTAGAAGACTGCTGACAGTAGTTAATACATTCGCGACGCGTAATCTTCAACGTAATGCTGGCCCAAAGGCTGGGTTTCGCGAGGAAACGGAGAGTGGCTCGGTCAGCGCTTCCTGTGCGATCGACATTGACGAATCTCTAGCGTCACATGGCTTGATGAGCAATAGGCCCCGGCCCCTAATTCCAAAAGTCCAAATGACCAGCGTGCGCCTTTGCAGCGCGGCTTGCAGAAGCAGAGTCACCGGGCGTTGCCATGACTCTTGACTGCGGCTACGTGGGTTCACAAACCTATAGTCAGAACGTGGACAAACGAAAGGGCAGCTGTCATTCGCATCAATGCGTTTTGAAGCGTGATTGCCTAGGTTTTGTACTGAGTGTGCGAGGTATCAGGAGAATTTCCAGTAGTGCGGAGTAGGGCAGCTGAGGTCCTTGCATCGTAGAAGACAATCTTTAGGCATTCGAAACTGCCAAGCTAGTGATAGTTACGCATCGAAACCAGGCACTCATCGATCGGAAAATAGGTAATAAAAAGTGTTAACGGAACGGTGTCTGGCCAGTACAAATCAGCAATATGAGAGGAGGTAAAATGCACCAAATTATAAGGCACTTCGTAAGGGGTATGCATTAATCAGAGTAGAGCAGAGCGGAGTAGGAGTATATATATGAAGCATGTACCGTAACTCGTTTCCAAACATGGATACCACCGTTTTGATAGGCTCTAAGAAAAGAGTGCATTTAAGCGACCACATGGCACCTAAATAATACATACAAACTAAGACCAGTGATTGGAATAGAATTCATGATTTCAAGTGTAGTGCACTGTGTTGCAAAATATAGTCGTCCCAGTAGAGCCAACTTGAGAACCACTAACAAGCCAAAAGGCATCGAACGTCGTTTCCAACAATGAGGAGTCGAATGCACCACAGTTTTCCTCGAATGAGTGGGGAACACTCGACTCCGCATTCTACTTTCCTACAAGCAGTGTCCTACCCAAACGGCCTTTAATATTGTAGGCGAATCGGCGGTGGATGCCGATAACCGACGTGGATGGACCTCGAGCTGTCATACAGCTCCATCATCAAAAGCAGTACATCAGCTATTTAAACTCATGTTTCGCTGCTGTGTAACCACAACGAACAACGAATCGAATAATAATAACAATACTAATGATAATGACAAAACAGCAAGAAGGAGAGAAAGGGGACTTACCGGAAAACCGGACAAGGAGCTAACACTTTGTCAACAACATACCGTCACAAACAGTTGACGTGCAAAGATAAGGCGGCATCAGCGAGATAGCTTCGTAACGGCTTTCACTGCTGCGCTTCATAATCGGCCATTGCCCCGTAGACAACTCTGCACCAAACATACTTTAAACAGACAGTCCGACTAGGAGACGCCAGCAGACGCGCTACTGGGGTCGACTGTGAGTCATGTTGTGCAAGTTCTCGAGCCAAGCACAGGGCGAGTCGCGTCGATTCTAGCCTGGAAGGTCAAAGCAACCGACGGCACCTAGTTTGGTCGTCAGTAACTTCATTTCCTGCTATCAAGTTATTTTTCCCACATCGGGCCTTGCGAAACCCTATATCTGGCAGCTAAAAGAAGGCTCGCCTAGGTAAGCGGTGACCAGACATAGATAATACGTGTCAAAGCCAACGCAACTTATTCAGTGCTGTTGTTCCAAAGAAATAGCTTCGTTATCACTGCCTAGTACCCGCCTACGCACATCATTGTTGCGAACACGCTGGTGTCATCCGACACCAGCAATGTTTCGCAGACAACGATTAAGGCGCGTCAGATCCGCAGATCGAAGGGGTCAAGTCTCATTCCCACGTAAACACGGTCTTTCAGACGGAGGGAAACTCATTTCTGACACCAAAAATTTCACAGGTTCAAGAAGGCATTTCTGGCTTTTGTACTTACGTGAACCGAGTTAAGTGGTTATGAGCCAATCGTTGCTGATACAGCTGCCGAGGAAAGTGAATTGACCAACTACCTCGAGTTCCTCGCTATCTAGGGTCAATGGATTAACAAGGGGCTGATGGTCCTACAGCAACATTTTACACTTTGAAGGTGCGAAGCGCATAGCAAATAATGGAACCACTCTATACAGGCTATTCAGGGTTGATTGTGCTGCCCAAACATCGTTAAACATAGTTCGCATAATCAAGATCAACTAACCTGTCACTAGGCAGGATCTCAACGCCTACATTGTGAGATTCCGCAAAGGAACACTCCATGATGTAGTCCACGAGGGAATTGAAGATAAATGGAGAAATTGGACAGTCTTGACGAGTGCCACTGTGTCACTGTAGATCCTGACGCGTCTAGTCGAGTTCGAGTAAATGACAGGTAAAATGTTCACATATTTCGTGGGGAAACTTTTCCGCACAAGTAGTTCGAACAGAATACATCAAGCTACTGAGTCGAGCGCACTCCCGAAGTCTAGGAACACAGCTACTGTCGGTATGCGGCACGTGTGGAGCTGCTCTCACACCTACTCCAGAGTGAATATATGGTCTAAACAGTTCTGTCTTGGATGAAAGTCTGCTTGCTCCTCCCTAATCTGAGACCCTCGCTCCGTAGTGAGGCGACGAAGGAGAATTGAGGACAGTAATTCTGTCAACACTGGCGTTAGGTTAAAACTCCTGTGGTTAGCAGTCCGCACGACTGCCCTTCATGTATATTATCACTATGATCGGTTCACCCCAGTTATCTGGAATGTTATCTTCCATCGAAATACGTTCGAAGTTCAGTGCATTGAAGAGGACCTCACCTCCATCCTTAAATAATGCAGGTGGGAGGGAATCCCGGCCAGATGCACGAAAACGATTGAGGGCTGTGATCGCGTTTCGGACCTCAGCCTCCGATTGAGCCTCTAAACTAACCGTCCATATCTTCTCCTGCATCACCTGAGTAGGATAAGATCGGAAAGCACAGGGTCAACTGAACTTATCTCGAAAGTGCGCAACCCATGGAGCCATACGACACTTCTTATAGTGAATCAGAGCACCAGCGCTGTCTCTGATTGTCTCACTGACACTTGGTTTCCTGAGACAAGTGGTCAGGGGATCAGCTGGAAGAACTTATGATACTTGCCTTCTGCTTCTGCCTCCTCCACTTCATGAGCCATAATAGCCCACCAGACTTCCTTGTCAACACGCAGGCTACGCGTTACTTTACCCCTAGTAGTCCGTCTGATCACATTATGCTCAGAGCCAGTCGAAGGGTTTCTTCTGAATTCCAATAGATTCACCGACCTCTCAGATAGCTAGTGACTGGTGCGGTGACGCATGGTAATACAACGAGCAGATGCCCCTGAGTCGTGTATGACAGTTGAGATGCTATTCCACTGAACCTCAGTGTCATTAGGACAAGGGCGCGAAAGTTCGGTACGCAGTGCATCTTCGTATGCTTGCCTGACAGAGGACTAAGACAAGTTCTCAGTTGCCAATTGAGGGAGACGTTTGATGCGCCTCCCGGTAAAGTTCAGGGAAAAACAGCGTACCAGGGCATGATCAGAGTTGACGCAAGTACTCCAGCACGAGCAACAATGCAGGATGGAACCACGCCACCTGTAACATGACGACGTGATCAGTTTGGGTCCATCGCTGACGAGCTATAGCAGGACGCCAAGTGGCACTTCGGCGCCTACTCTGTCTAAAAGCAGTGTTACTAAGAAACAGCCGGTGCTCCGCACACAGCTGTAACAGACGCTCGCCGTTGTCCGTACGGTCGGAGTTAAGTACATACCAATAGCTGAGTTTCTAAAGAGCCCAAGTGACCTACTTGCACATTCATTTAAACTGGTAACACTGTGTAGTAGCGTGTTTAGTTCGTGGTAGAACTGCAGTCGGTGGGAGCATAATCGGAAATCACAAACAGCATTTTGTACTACTTAGTTGAATAACCTTAGTTGATGTCATCAAACGGGTTGCACACAAACGGCTGTTCACCAGAATCCGATCAACCAACGATGGCTCAATTGTGGAACTGAGACGGATACCTACCTTAGCTTGATCGGTGAGTGCTGCATCACCGTCTCCGGATGCGTGCAACCAACAGCGAGAGGACAAGCCGGGCGCAGTTACTTCAACAACCCCATTAGGGTTATTGAACTTAGTTTCGGACACACAACACACGTCAATACTCAGTGTGTCCAAGGTACGTGCAAGTGCAGTTTATTGACCTATTTGTCTTAGAGTGCGAAGTTTGAACGCCGCCAGGGAAACGGTACAGCGTGGCCTTATATGGGACGATTGCCGATAAACATCCGATGGGTGTTGTGGGAAGGTGGCTGCAGATGGTTCTACTCCAGTGGCACTTCGGTTGCTGTCAATTAAGCTGGGAAGTGCAGAAGGTAGGTTAGTAATGTGGGTCGGGATGGGAGTAAGAGAAACAGGTGGAAAAGAAAGAAGGGACGCGCCAGCAGTAGCACGTTTTCGCATATCTGCCCCGCTTTATGAAGTGGATGAGGCGATCCATGATAATCTATGCTATGGTCGATGCAAAATAAGGTTGAAGTTTGAGGAAATAGTCATGGTTGTGGGTGGGTTAAAATACTGCCAGCGCCCCCAGACTTAGACAGGACTATTAGGGTCCTAAACCAAAGCCCATGGTTCAAAAGTCTGTCCGCAAGGCAGCGGGGAGGTGGGAAGTATTTAGTTTTACAGAAATGGACGCCCTCCCATTTCAAACTGCAACCTGGAGGTGTGATACAGCTTAGCCTAAATTACATTGGTAGGCACATGAATACGTTTAAAATAATTGTTCCAACCGTCTACAGATAAACATGGAGCCATCGAAAAACGAATAGAACACAGAGGAATACATGAATTTGTCAGAAGGCGCGATACTACCCGGTTTGCAAAGCCTAAGTAGGGAGTTGACTAAGGGGATACCATCCTGAGCCTTTGGCTGAGTAGCCTGTACGTAGAGCAGTGCGGCGCAATCAGAGAATCGTACCTATCTGGAGCCAGTGACCGATTCTTTAGTTCATACGCCATCCGTTTGGACGGTTATCAAACAGGGGCCCAATCCTCCTTGCACTTTAAGCATCCGATTGCTGGAATATGATGCTTCACCAGAGTGAAGCAAAGGATTGCGAGTTTAAAGTTGGACTTGGAGAATCCACTGGTGGTTGGGTTGCTACAAGCATCCTCTATTGAGACCTCCGTTCACTTCAGGTGGACCTCGGTCATTCCGATCAAAATACCGTAAGTAAAAAAAAACATAATTGTGTTGCTCACCCCAACACTGGCACCCGAAGACCGCGGTTTCGTCCTGGTTGGAACTCATCAGTTGGAGATAGCCTGAGTTGGGCTGGAACTCAGAGCCTAGTGGCTCATGGTTGACGCCATAAGCACTATGCTACTGAGATCTGCGAGCAACGCTTGGTACAGCGGAAACGAATTCAAAGTTGAACTTGGAGAATCCGCTGGTGGTTGGGTTGCTAGAAGCAACCTCTATTGAGACCTCGGTTCACTTGAGGTGGACCTCGGTCATTCCGATCACAAAGACCGTAAAAAAAACCACCAGCGGATTCTCCAAGTCCAGCTTTGAATTCGTTTCCGCTGGACCAAGCGTTGCTCGCGGATCTCAGTAGTATAGTGCTAATGGCGTCAACCATGAGCCACTAGGCTCTGAGTTTCAGCCCAACTCAGGCTATCTCGAACTGATGAGTTCCAAACAGGACGAAACCGCGGTCTTTGGGTGCCAGTGTTGGGATGAGCAACACCATAATGTTGATTGCGACTTTACTTATTGGGGACTCGCATCCACCAAGTCACAGTGTTGTTAAACAGGCATATGTGGATTTCTATAGGAAAAACGTTTGGTAGGCGAAGACCCACCACATCATGGAACACTGCCGCCGAAACATTTGATGGAACGACGCAACCCCGAACCAACCAGCTGGCATCACGAGGGCGTTGTTAGGCAAGTCGGTAAGTGAGTGGTTACAGAAAATAGAATTTTTCCCATTGAGCTGAGGAATGCAAACTGCTCATTAGCCATGCATTGCTGAATGTCAGTGGCCGTGTCACTGAGCTTGGTTCTGTTGTATACCTCACAACTGAAACCCGGATGAATTACTATCCCAGACGGATTAATAGAGATAGTGTCAACCTTGTGGAATGTGTTCAGTGACAGGGTAGAGGCAGCAGTATATGGAGCGAGGGAGCGCCAAGAGACAAAGAGAGCCAGGATAAATGAAGAGTTGGTGACTGCGACCGACAGCCTGACGGCCATGAGGATAAAAGTTGGTAGTTCAAGATGGCTCCGCTTCAATCACGGAAGGAGCCTGATGCTTTCGAAATTTACATCGTAAGTCTGCTGAATCAGCGATTTACCGGATGTGGATGAACTGAGAAAGCAACACGTGGCAGTGGACCAGTCCGAGAGTAACGCGACTCCAGTGACTACTCAACGGATAGAGAGCGATAAGGTTGGCTACAAAAGGAGTATAGGGGACTTACTACGACGGAAGGAGACTGTTCAGGCGCAAAGAGAGGCAAAGCAAGCATACGACAAAGTAAGCGTGCAACACACAGCGAAGTTAGTACGCTAGAGTAACTGGTTTAAGATGCTGCGCCTCTCTAGAGCGAGACAGGCACTTGTCTAACGTTGCGTCATAGAGTACTGCCGAGCATTTAAATTCTGAGTGGTATGTCCGAAGTCCACTTTGATCAAAATGGAAACTGTGTCACAATCGAAACACACAGTGAGGACCAAAAAGTTCAACGTAAAATCTAGCAGTGCTTGTGCAAGGGCACGATTTGATCTTGGTGGGGGACCTTTGAATCGGCCTTTATTTTTGCATTGGCACATCGTTTTTATCTTATCTGTCACGAAGTAACCAGCGTTCACAAAATATTATTGACGTTTGCTGTGGTCACATTATTTAAAATACAACAGCGCTGTATTGGGTAGATTGCTGGAAAAATCTCTGAGATACTGTGCGTGCTACGTGTAAAGCTATTAAAAGGAGTTTTCTTAACTTGAAGAACCACCGAACCGAATGACAAACTGGGCTCCGAAACTGTACCTTCAATAAAATGCAAATAAGAAAGATTCACTTTAGTAACGGCTATTATTAGCTCCATATACGAGACCGCATTCGGAGGATCCCTGCGTACCCCAACCATTTTTCCATCTATAAAATTTGCATTTTTTGATGTTGCTATTTTAGTTCATCCGTGGTAGTTGTGGTTAAACGCTAAAATACACCCACCGGGTACCTAAAGGCAATATCAACTTAACTTGGGTAGTGTTACATTCTCGATAAGGCATAGCTTTATATGGGACCCGGTAGAACTGCTCCCAAAAGAGAGAATATATCATGATCAACTCATAACTAACGAATTTAACGGAAGAAGAAAAGTAACTTCATGACATTACGTCTGTCAAAGCGAACCCCGGTGGAACTCCATCGGATAATCTTGCTCCCGACAACACTTACAACGCTAGCGCCACAAGATGAGATGGTTGCTGATTTGACTCCGTGATCCATTCATCTATGCTGGTGGCAACTTCCAAGTATAACAACTTTAAGGAAAAAATACAAATGCAATAACAATGGCATCAGTAGAAGTTCGCAAGGTAGATCCTTAAGAGTTGAAGTACTTGAAAATGTGAAAGTCACCGCTAAAGTCCAAGTTAAAAAACGGTGTGCACTGCCAAATTAAAGCTAAAACGAGCACAAAAAGGACATGAACTCCACTAAATGTGGAAACGTAAGGAGATGTGAAGGTGGAATTCCCAGAGGTGAAGGAGGCAAGACACTGGGGGTGAAACCGGAACACGCGCAACCCACCTGAATGAACTTCGGTTAACCCCAGGTTTCCCTCGAAAGCTGGACACTGTCATTTCAATCAAATTCGATCCAAGACCACAGTCAATTAGGTACTGCACCGCATCGGACAACCAGGTAAGCCAGCTTGCTCCGTACGGAACGAAAGTTGTGTGTATGTCTGCTAGTTCATCCTCCGTATTGGTGAATTCCGAATCCAGCTCTGAGACAACAGGCTCCAGGTTCTCGTGGACGCGTGATAGAAGACGTGAATGCAGCTGCAGACAAGAGTAACCATAATTCTACAATGCCATGAAACATACGCGAACAGAATCTCATACGAACAATGCTCGTTTTTAACAACATCGCTTCGCGCCAGTACGAAAACGCAAAGTGCGGATGGCACAGATAGCGATGAGAATCCATCAATACCCATGGAGGAAAACCCTGCCAATGTTTTAGAATGGTGACAGAGAGGAATAATATCACGGTATTAGTTGACCGCGAGTGCATGTAGTAGATTGGAAAGGAGCGCTCACTTGAATGTAAAGTGAACGGAGTCGTTCGGCTTTCGGGACCAAGTCACGATCAACACGCGGATCTAAAGTAACAGAATCGCTCGAATCTGGATCGGTGATGGTTAGCTGACCGCCTTGTGTGGAAACATGAGGATCGTTTGGAAGCGGATCGTTAAGCAATGGGACCCCACAGGATTGGATGAGCCAATGGAGATTGGCCAGTGCGTGCAGACGTTGACTCCAATCGGCCAACACACCGTGTCGTTTCTCCAAATTATCCGCTGTTCGCAACACGTCACGATAGCACTCAGCGGCAAGATCGTACTGAATGGGGAGTGAAAGGAATAATGGTGGGTTACAAAATTGTACAGGTGTGCAGGTTGAATTGAGGCGCCCGCGACAGAAAGAGCGAAAATGACGAGGAGCGTGTGCGAAGCCAGTCCATGGAGAAATACATAAATTTGATTCCATATTTGCTGATGACTCGTATCAAAGAGAGCAGCTGAATCTCCTGATTAGATCTATACTCCGAGTAACGATGATTAGAAAACGAGTACACTATTTGTATCAGAAAAGTACCGTTTGTTATTATATCTCAAGTCATATGGAGATATGCATTGGCGGTGCATGTAAAATTCCACCACCAAATGTTGAAGGAGCCGGAAATGCTCCAAGATGTTCACCACAAAAGTAATATGAGATAAAACCCTAAGCATAAGAGAGCAGAGAGCTACTGCAAATCGACATTTTCGTTACATAGTTGGGATATCCTTAGCGAGAGAGGACAGCGGCGTCAGAACTGATGGAAACATGTCAGTACAAAGCTCACTTTGGAAAGCAAGATAATCTAATAACTGGTGTCCACCGTCTACCCGCTATATTTCCAATTCTTATGTATATCACAGAGCCACAGAAAAATGCAAAATGAGGTAACATAACGACGGTCATGCTAGTGGTGTGAGCAAACTGTTCACTACAGTACTAAGCGTATCATGGATATGCCAAGCAAATTAGATAATGAAAGACAATTAGCGTGTCAGTGGTCGATCGACAGCAAGTTTGTGCACATATGTTGATTTTGGCCGACTGCCTGAGACCTTCGTGGAGGCCATAAGCAAGGAGCGGAGGAACGTGAGAGAGAGGAGCTTTTCAACACCGAGATCTGCATGGCAGATTCAAATTTCATACTTAATGTGTCATGAGTAATGTGGAATAAGTGGCTCTGATGTGTTGAGTGAAAAGCACCCGCGCGATAGATATCCGACGACCGTCACCAATGATGGAGTGATGTATCGGTGCATGTTGACCGAACAAAAAGACACACTGTCAGCCGCTAATGACCATCCTGGCCCTAGAGCGAATAGACGGAGAAGGCATCACAAGCTAGGTACATCGTTGAATGTACGTGAGTTTCGAAGACCGATGACAGGCAATACACAAACTATGGGACGCCGATGTGACATCTACCACCAAAAGCTACCCAGACAGTTATCATTCTCAAATCATCTATCACCATCACCACCATCTTTCTTAGTAACAGTATAACAGTGCTTCGTGCAAATGACCCGCTATTACGCGACCGTAATAGCATAAACAGTGGTCAAAAAGTATGGATCTGTGTTGATCTATCGAAATTTGATCAGGCATGCACGCGGGATAATGCCATTAATACCCGCACGCTTGCAGCATATTACAGGGGCTAAATGTCCTATTCGAATGTGATGTTCTCTAAATATAAAATCGTAGTGCCTAGGAGGTTCTTGAATTCCGACATCGATTTTGACTGAAAAAGAATCCAAAGATCTTAAACAAGTGATTAACATCAAAGGGACCTGCATGCAGCGCCAGGTAAACATTCGGGATCAAGGTGTCTACGCTTTGTGAAAAACGGTCACAAACAGTCAGACATCAAGTGAATTAAAGATGGTATCGACAAGAGAGCAATCCTGCGGATTTTAGTGACACATGACTCAACATGGTGATGGTCAGCAAAGTAGATTGGTTCCGGTAATGAAATTAGGTGTTGAGAAATTTCAGCAGGGAAAAATGTATATGCAGTGCGAAGAGGTCCACCTGTGTCAGTTGTGATAACAGGAGAGAGGAAAGAGAGGTAGTCATGTCTGAGGGAGCATAAAGGAGGCGCAGTGATGTAGGTAATCACATGTGTAGATATACTTATGAGAATACGATATTTGGGATGGAAGCAGATTATCGTAAGTAACCAGTCCGTTATAAAAACGTAATTACTCTTTAGATGCGCCCCACAAACACTAATGTCAGTGGCTCACTTGGTGTTTTATGATAAAGCAACCAGCAGCACCATTTTTAGCGAAAACCCATGAGCGCAGGAGGCCTTCGCATTCACGTCTCGTATCGTCCACCACACGGCGAATCACCTCCGTCATAGTGGAGCATCTGAAAGAGGAATCGAGAATCTGGACGTTAACAAATAGAGATGAAAAGGCTTGAAGTAGAGCTAACAGGGACAAATGAATGCTGCGTACTGAAAACAGAGAGCTAGAAGGTATGCATTTGTGTTGCTTCTTCGATCCATTATCGAGCACACACGCGGAATAACGTTAGCTATTACAGCGCGCTGACAACACAATTCGGCTGCGCGACGAAACTCTATTCAGAGGTGATACATTCTCGAAATCCGTGATCCTCAAAGCCGGCGTCCAGGAATTCTTTAAATGCCGACACCGACTTCGCCTCGACTATTGTCTCGGGCAAACTGATATCTGTCCACTAGAAACCCGAAGCATAAAGAATGAGCTATCCGCATCAGGTCAGGTACCTGCGAGCGCTGCTTGATGCGCGCTGGTGTAGAAGCGGACACAGCATAAGGAAGTCACCCCGATGTAATATCCAGTACGTCATAATGAAGTCTGCTCGAAAGCGACACTACAGTAGGATGTGTAGCCAACGTTTCCTGCATCGGTCTTTATAGGTCATACCCTGTAAACTGTGGATGAGCCTAGTAGTCACATGCTGAACACGTTAGTTTTTGTATCCCGCCACGGGTGATCGGACAATAGGTGGGTGAGCAGTATTCCGGCATCGGCCTTATGATGGAGGAGAAGAGGCGGGTGGTAATCTCCTCAGACCAAGTGGAGAAGCTGCGTTTGAGCGCAAAAAGGATGCGCAGTCCATTCCCGCATAGCCTGTTCGTGCTGTCCACGACTTCAATTCGCAGCGTGAGAGTACGCCTAGGTCCTTCATGTACGCTGTGGGATGCAACGGTTGCCAGGCCAGAGTGCACATACGACCATCACCACCCTTACCCTGGCTCATGAGTGGTGAGTTAACCGGGTTGATAGGTAGACCGACCTATGCAGACCACAGGGGCAGACGGTCAAAATTCTGTTGAAGAACGTCGTAGTCGTCGGAAGCACCGATTACCATCCAAGTCTTCAGGACTTTTGCAAACAGGGCATAAGGCGACCGAAGAAGCTCAGGTACTTCGTTGATGTGGATCAGAGAAAGAAGGACTTTGAGGTACCCCACTGGTGGAGATACTAGTCAGTTGGATAATCATCCGTCCAATAAGGAAACCGTTAATCCACTGGTGCTACGAACACAGCACATCCTCCGCTTGGGTAGGATGACCTCATGGCTCACCTTGTCGAACGCTCCACTGAGATCACCTCGACTGATTTCCTCCGGATAGCGTTAGCAACCATTTGTGCCGCGTCACCAGCAAGTTAGTGGTACACGAGCTACCTTTCGTGAAACCATGGAATACCGGCGTCAGATCTTTGCTCCCAACAGCTGCAGCAGATCCATCGTCCCAATCTTCTCGAGCACCTTGGCCAAAACAAAAGCCAAATTGGCTGGTAGTTGTCCACTTTGCTTGGGTCATCGCCCTTTGGAATCGGCTTTATTACCGAGCAATTCCGGTCGCTCTGCAACGCACCGTCGAACAACGACCTGTTGAACAGACAAGTCACAGAAGGCGATATAATGTCCGATAGGGACATAAGAATCAGCGGGTCAAGTTTGCTTAAATTTTCCACACAACAATCTAAGTGCGGTCTGAATTGCACAAAACGAACTCCGTGCAGAAGCACGGTCATTTGCGAATCCGGAAACGAAGTGCGCCGTTAATGAATACGCACGCTCAGTGCTCGAAGTTAGGGGCTGTCCGGCAGAGCTCCCTAACACCTTCATATCACCTATAGGCCTCAGGCTGTGATTCATGTAAGTAAAGATTTTCTTAGGGGCCGTCCTCACTGTGATTGCAAACTGCTGTTCAGACTACCAACGCTTCTGTGCAGTTGCGCTGTCTGTTGGACATCTCGTAATCCTCGGACACTGATACTAAAAAGTAGATTTTGTTCGAAGATGCGCACACTTTGCATAGCACAAGGCGCGTGAAGGTGGGGCAAATGGTGCATCGTTTGGGGTACTCTAGCTAGAGACTCGAATGTATAGCTAATGCTGAAGGCTGCGGGGAACATGTCCCGCTCAGCAATGCGGATGCAGAGTTTCACTCGTAACCTCAATACCCGCATGAGGGTTTTTAGGTATTGTTGGACTGCAGTCACAGCCAAATACTATAGAAACAAAATCATTTCTGCCTAAAGGCCAATTGACTTGAAGTGGGCGGTAGCAACAGATAGGCTATTTTCCAGTTAGATACCACACGTGAGATACGCGTTTTACACCGATCGGGGCAAAGTTATAACGTAAATTATTGACTTTCCTAGGCCATCGATCTACCCCAAACCAACTAAGAAGACGATGTTGATACTGGGTTCAGCTGACCCATATTCAGAAGATGATCTTTTTACGCCTTCAGACTTAAGAAGCGTTTCGTGCCTCGAAGTTTAATTTTCAAATATGTAACTGCATGTATACTAACACCCTGGTTGTACTTTTCCCCGATAATCCTCCCTGGACTACTGCAAAAAGACCGGATTTTGAAAGTGCAATCAAGTAAAGATACTTCCAGATGTAGTAGTTTATGCAGAGATGCCCTTGTCGAATTTACTATTCGTAAGCATGACGCTTGCCTGAATTATTTTTTTAAGACCCTAAGTGGCCGCCTTCATTCGCTGCATAATGATTACTCAGAAAATTTGTCTGGCTCTTACATGCGTTCAAAACTTAGGGGTTTATTCCCTCGCACTTCTTCGTATCGTAACACAACTTGGCCTTATTTGTCAAGCTTTCTTGTCGGCCCAAAGAAAGTCACAAATACTTTGTGCATGTGGCTCCTTGAATGAAATTTGTACATGTTTGTCTACGTAACTTTTCAATTTATAGTTAGATAGTTTTGAGTGGTCCCATCATTCAGTGCATCCGCAGTGATAGTTTACATGTTAAGAATGCACGCATTTGGGTGCATAAAGATCATTTCGGCTTTGAATTAATTTGAAGCGAGAGGTTCCAAGAAGTGCAACCCAGTGTAGCCATTGAATGATGGTAAATACTAATCATGTGAGTCGCCAGAATCCGATTTGGTCCAAGGACTTCCGGTTTCACGTGGCCCCGAGCCAATCAGCTAGCGCAAAGAAAAGGCTCCAAATCGCGAGAGAATGAAACGGAAGTCCAGTGCATAACCGGATGTTGACATCCGTCTAGAGGGGCCTAGTTGCGATGTATTCTCTTTTGATAATTCGTACCTCCTACTGTCTTTTGGTTAAAACACCAGTTACGCGTTTTGTTATACAGGGACACAAACACAAGCACGAACAAATCAGAGACCGATTGACAGTTGAGTGGCGAAGGAATCCCAGCTCAAGCTGGATTTCGGTCAAATATATTTAGCACAAAAACGGAAAAGTGTGCCCGATAAATATATAAATGTTATTAAATCGCTTTACGCGCACAGTTCGCGCATTTAGGGTTTATGGCAAACTGACGGCGCCCTTCACTATTTCTAGCCATGTGAGACAAAGTTGCTAACTGTCACCTTTCCTCGATAACTTCGCAACTGACGAAGTCAAGGAAAGGACACTTGCAATACACGACCTACAAGGTATGAAGCTACTTCCTGGTGAGCGACTTTTTGACTTGGAGTATGCGGACAACATTGCCACCATTTATGACAGCGCCCAAACGTGCCAAGCAGCAATGAACAGATTAGCACTGGCTGTCAGTCGTTTTGGGCTATGTTCTGCGCCATCGAAATATAAGGTCCTTCTCCAATTTTGGCAGAGACCTACCTCCGCGCTGACGCTTGGCGGTAATCAGCTTGAAGTCATTCAGAAATACAAGTACTTGGGCAGCTATATTAGCATCTGTGAGGTCAAAGATGATATTACGGAACGTATGGCAAAAGCTCGAGGTGCCGTGCCAATCTCCGCCACTTGCGGCGCCGGCACGACATCACCCTCGGTGTGAAATGTAGTTTACAACATAGCCGTTCGTTCAACAACCCTGTACGGTTGAAAAAGCTGGCCCGTCAAGTCGACAGACATAAAGAGGCTAGTCACGTTCGATCATCGCTGCCTTTGCAGTTTAGTCCTTGCTTGGTGAGAATATGGTGTGAGCAATGGGCGTGTTCGGCGTCGTGTATTTAGTGCAGGGAGAGTGAGTGAAGCACTCAGCATCGTTATTTCACGAAGCAGGCTCCGATGGATGGGTCATGTGTTCGCATGTCAGTGTACACCGACTCCCGCGATGTGCGTTGTTTGCGCGCCCGGGGTCTGGATGGAAGAGGAGGGAGGTCAAGCGATAACGGTTAAGAGGAGTGAAGCCCCACAGTTCGGAATTGGCGTCGGCGGATGCCTTCTGTCTACCTGGCTGGGGTCCTAAGGACGATGAACCCGTTTGGTTGGATACACCAATTGACTTAGCGAAGAGCCGAGCACAAGGGCATTTGTGTCGTGAGTTTCTTTATCCCTCCTTTCCTATTTAGTTTCCCTCATCATCCACGATCTCACACTCAGATTCAGGTAGGAGTGAAACAATAAGAAGCCCTTTGAGCGTTCCCTCTTGAGGGGATCGGTGGGCCAGGAAATGATAAGATGCTCTGAGGTCTTGATGGGTCTAAAACGAAACGCCCGAACCACACCCTGGGCAACTAATTACTGCCCACGTTTCCTGCACTAGCAGTCCCTGCTGTGCAGGCCACGTGAAGTAAAAATAGGTGTGAGAAGAAAATTGAAGATAAAGAGGAAGGGGTCATTTAAATGGGGGAGAATACCAAAGAGTGAGGAGAAGCACAGAATAGAAAATCAAAGTTGGAAGACGGATATGGTCAGGAGAAGGGAAAGGTTTCGTGTTGCCACCCAAGAGCGTGTAACTGACGCTCAAAACTCTTAACTGTAAGTTCACAGACGCCCGATAAGTCTACGCGATAACCGAGTTTCTGCCCTGATGCGGTAGGAACGCGGCTTGCGTAGGTTCATGAGATGACCGCAAAAACAAGGCAACCTAGCCGAACTAAACAGCTAACTCAAGTCCGGTCCAACCTTCCCAGTTAAAATGTGGTAAGTGAGGATCAGGTTCCTATAAACAATATGATACAACATTATATTACTTGTTTTTATTTCTCATATTATGTAATGTTCAGCATCTCGCTTTTTCACACATCTCTTGTATTGCAGCACATTAGCTGCATTGTGTTTATTACTTTAGCTAGCGTGTACTGATGATGACAGTCCAAAAACGATACGCTAATTCGGTGATACAGTACTTCGCAAATATGTTGCGTTGACTCATCAGCAACAGGTTGGAACATGTAGTTAACCTAGTGGACTAGCAACGACGAGGAGAATTAAGTGACTGGTCGTTCTACTTTCTTAGCTCTCACACTTAGGATAAGTTAAGTAGTATTGACTGGTCTGTCAACGTCTGTAATAGGGCAGGGATATCGCATCCCCAAATGAAATGATAACCATTGTGAAAAACGGAGATCATGGAACCCGGTGGTATAGTGATAATGATGGGACCAAAGTTCATCTGTGGTAAGGTTACCCTGACCGATTCAAACCAAAGCCAAAATCGTAACTCTCATCTGTAGCGCTTAGCTCTAACGGCCAGGTGGGCCCACGCATGTGGAAGGATTGAAATTAGATGAGCATCGGTGGGAAGGTGGTAGACTTTGAGATGGTACATTTCAACGTCCAAGTCCAGCTTTTTCTCTCTAACCACTTTGGTAAGCGTCAGCTGTGAAATGGACGTGTTCATAGATACAGGAAAGATGATCAATACTCCGGATGAAATGAAACCTGCCTTCAAGAGGGCGTGAAGTAAGAAAAGAATGACGGGAACCGACATTCACAGCAGGTACGTTTAGAGCAACCAGCTGAACTACGACGGGTGCAAACTATAAGCTCAAGATGTGCAAGCAGCCAAGCAATCCATCAAATTGCTCTCCATAAAAGTAAGGAAGGGCGTATCCACGTAGACAGCATGAGAGACCGAGGAAAAGGATTCAAGTAAGATCGGTATCGTAAGCGGTCCAAAACATACGGGAACAGGTGGTTCTATCAAATCGTTAGCAGGAGATAGTTTTGCATCGGCATTGAGAGTTCAGCGTAGTGGCTTCCAAGTCACATAACAATCATGCTGCTGGAAAATCACCAAACGGCCGGTTGGTTCGAGACGGTGAAGCCTATTTGGTTAATGTATATCCTTTGTCCACATCGTTGGCACGCATTGGTATTGAGGGCATCAGGTCCGCCTCAGCGACTGCCGTGTAAGTGGTATGTAAAGTTTTTTTAGCGCTCATCTCTCTACTCCAACAGTGAGAATGTTTTAGATTTTATAAACTGCGAAGTCGAACAGAGTGCTCGCCGCATGCAACTTCGTGCACTGCCTGTTCGCCACATAATGAACAGAAGTTGACTAAATGTGAGGTTTCCCAGCTGAGATATTACTGACTAACTAACTAGTTAGTTAAATTGCATAGCTACTGGTATAGTTAAGGAGTTAAAAACTTATTTATTAGTCATTCGTTTGAATGCCTACTAGTCGATAGATAAACCAATCTGTTTGCACCTTCGATTGCAAGTGAACAAACCCCCCAAATAATTACCAGATAAGTAGTTAAATACCTAACCAATGAACCGACCAGGTCAAGCCAAGATAAGATGGGCCTTGTGAGTCTATGAAAGGTAAACACACGCAAATGACAAGAGCAACTAGCAAATAGTGATGGCAGATGGATGCAAAGCAACAGTCCTTAACACCTTTGACAGGGATGCAGACTGAACTAGGTTATCAAACAATCCGCGGTTGACTAGATTATGCTTCGTCAAATGATGTACCCAAAGCGAACCGAACACCCGGCTTCTCGATCAAGTAATTACTTATTAGTAGGGGGTTTTTGGTGCATCTGCACTGAGAGTTCACCACATTGGTTTCCCAGTCCCCTAACTATCATGCATCCGGAAAATCACCGGACGACCGTTTCATTCTATTGGGACTCGCTGGTGGTGCGCATCCCCAGCTCCAACAGGAACAGAGCCCACCTCAACATTAGCAGCGTGCGTCAATAGCCAGCAGCTTATGTCACTAAACCATGGGGAGAGACGTAGACGATAATGAAGCGCAAGTTAACTACGATGTAGCGCAATTCATCTTCCACTGCCATAAAGAAGGAGTGAATAGCAGCAGTACTCCGCCGGCACGTCGTGCCGATGCTTCGCTACCACGCGACGACCATCAATTAACCGTGAGATAGAGATACTGCGGGGTCGACTGCGCCTATGCACCTCCGGATCGGTGACCTGTGGAATACAAGACAGGCGCCTTATAGTAGCCGGCCATCGGACACGGCTGGCCCCTAGAGTCATGGCTTCTCACAATGTCGTGCATGTCGACAGTGCAGAAGGCGCATGGCTAACACTACCACCGCGTGAAATTTAGGGTAAACAGGATAATGGATCGCGTCTCCTTGAAAATGTCACTATGTTGTAAGATCAGCTCATTACGTACGGAGTGTCGAAATGCGTTGGATCAGATCTCACTGGCCAACAATACTACTAAAAAATAAAAGCAAAGTAGAAAGAGAGTAAAAGGATCGGATCGTTCGCGAGCAGAATCAAGAAGTGGAAGAAATGGGATGTATCTCGGAAGGTGTTGGTGCCCACAGACGGCACCAGGCTAGTTGGAGCCGCTGGTCGTTGATGTGACAAATCCGAGCTTGGACACATGTATGCATGAAAGTCTCGTGAAAAATACACGAGACGGTTGCGTAACGAGTAGCATGCGATATAACGAGTAATCGGTAAAGGTCGAAAACGCATGAAAAATCTCAGTTCGCAAACTTTCAAGATTGTGGAAGAAATATACTCTAGCTCGTTTCACTCTCCACACAAATGCTCGCATGATGAAACCATGTGAGTAGAGACTGTCATCAGTCCCAATTCCATGATGACGAACGTGCTTCGCTATAGATAAGCGTAACTCACCCCGTTCCAGTGTGACGGATAGCACGAGCGGCAGATGCGCTTGGTCCATCAAGACGGGAACCACGACGAAGGTCGGAGAATCTACTGTAGCTAGTATCACCATCGTCATCAGCGTCCTCAGAATCAAGTAGCAAGTCCCCATGACCTAACCGGTGCCCAGTGGATTGAGCAGGGTTATGGGACCGTGAACGTCTCCCAGTGGTCCCGGTAGCGACAACTAGACTCGCGTGTGTACAAGCTTGACGTAATCGTGTAACGAGATATACGAGGCGGCAGTGAATGGAGGTTGGCAGTGTCGCGAGCGTCTGGTCTGGTGTGACTGAAGTCGAATTAAGGAGTGATTGTAAAGCGGTCGCCGATTCGGACAGAACACGATCATGGATGTAGCGTTCTACTGAGGTGAATGTGACCCTGAAGGGAAAAAAAAGAATAGTTACGCACGTAAACATAAATTTCGTAAATTACAGTACTCAAAGTGTAGCCATTAAACGGCAATGGTTGTGCCGCTCAGTTCATACGGAGATAGACAAGAGTATAAAAATAAACACAGTGTAGGCGTACGATCAATCTCATTCTATTCAGGAAAAACACAATGGTATTTGAGAGGGGAGCTGCGTAGATGTAGTGCCTGAGGAAAAGTTCAGTGTCTGTCTAACTAATAAGGATCCCCGTATAACATCCATTGTAGGTAACCCGAAAGATTTACTACAAATCTAGAAAACGCTGCAAAAGTGATAAACGCGACTTCCAGTTGGGGTGTGTCTTTATTTACCTGTATCTGGTACCACAGTTAGTGCTGCATACTTCTTGTTGTGATAATTGAGTTGGGCCAAAAATGGTTCGGTTGTGTTTAAATTATTTGTCTTGGCTACTCCTTCATTATAAAGTATCCAAGTTCACACAGCGTGATTGCACTTTAACTTTAGACATTTTACGCTTTGATAATTGATTCGGCATCCAAACGACTTCTATATTATACGAGTCACCGAGTTCATGGTTGCCCTTATCTGATGAGTCCATTACGGTAACAAGTCCGCTAATTGTTGCTAGAGTCTGGCACGTATGGGCGATTTGAGCCATCAAGGATTCGAGGAGATTGGTTGGAGCGTGTTAGATCTAAGTCAGCACCGCTCAGAATTGCTGCGGAAATAAGCACAAGAACCTGGGTAAACAGGTACAAGAAGATCGCCATCAGTGAGTCCCTGATCTATCCACAGCGGGTGGAGCGGATGAACTGGAAAGGTATGCTAAACCGAATATTCAGTTTAGACATACAAACCATTTACTTCATACCGTTTGAATCTCAATCTCGTGTAAATGTGTGCACTGTCGCCGAATTGGCGTGAATATGTTAGTAAAGAGAGCAGTTGCAGCAGCCGGTATGGTCCGTCATTTATCCTCTCATTAGTTCCCAAAGACTCGTCCGTTGTCTCCCATGGACTTTGATCGCCATTGGTTCATGTTGAGTCTCTTTAATCAGCTATGATCCGTGCACCAAAGAGCTGCAGATGAAGTTACCTCGATATACTTCACCAAACAATAATAGCAATAGCAGTTGTGGGGAAATAGGGAGTCGTTAACGTTATTAGATGGAAAAGGGGAGGGGCAATTCGGGAGCACCACTAGGTTTGTGACGCGTACCATCTAGACAATGATGTGGTCAATCTTTAGGAACACGGCAGGAACCAACCAGTCTCAACCGTTCGGTGACTTTCTTCATACTCTTCTGCCATGTCGGTGACGGCCACTCGAAAGGGTAGTCAAATACGGTTACTCACTTAATGGCCCTTCAGTGCGTAGCGGTAAGGTCTCCTATCCACAAAGTACTTCGAGCAACATCTTTGTGGATAACAGACCTGGCCTCTACATACTGGCAGCATAGTCGGCCGGTGGCGGAGTGGTCTACATACCCGGCTTGCAACCATAAGGTCACCGTTTCGAATCGGAGTAGGGGCAGGAGTTCACCCGGTACACACAGGCCAGGCGCGACTGGTGGTGGTCGCGTGGCAGCGAAATGCCGTTACGGTGTACAGCTGGTGATTTCTTTCATTAATTCATTGGCAGCATCGCAGTTCTGCGAACCCCTCTCTTGACTACAGATCCTCCATTAAACTGTCTCCAAATAAATAAATAGTTTATTCTCGAATGTATCGAGACAGAGGTTCAGAAAAAGCACATAATTTGGCAATACGTGCAGTAGTCTCTTCAGCAATGTAATCACTGTTGGAGATGCAGCTACCTGGATAAGTAAATACATTGACAAGTTCAAGTGGTAGTTCGGGAACAGTGAAAACTAGTGGCTCACCTATGCGGTGATCGGAGTTTCCCGTCTGCCCAACCCTGTATGAACTCTGTTCGGCACCAACATTGCCTAGTTTGGCGTTTCACTACAAATGTTTCCTCTGCATTTGCATTTTGCTTCATTCCGGTCAGCAGCATCACCCCCCGGTTTGTACTGTGTTCTATCCCGTCTGCTATTCTACCATGTCCCGCTTTTCTGTATACGTGTCAATTCCAATGACTTTGACATCATCCACTCACTCGTGCGCGCATCCTTGGGTTGTGCTTTGCTAACATGACAGACGAGGCGATCGCGCATTTATCGGAGTCGAACTTCATTGGTCGGTGCTCACATATTTTTATTGGTCAGATTACACGACCTGCCTGTACACTTTTACCTGTTCCCCTATGCCTCTGCTGAGATCACTTGATTGTAAATACAATTTTGGTTCACGGATCGCCCTGGGGATTCGACCCATAGATAGCTTTTGTATTGAAAGACCTCTTAATGCATTTGAGCTTGGGCATCGTTAAGGTATTGCCAGTTTTGCTATGTTTAGTTGGTTCAATAGCACCGTCATTTCGGTTCCAGTTCATGTTAATTTCTCGACGGGACACGCGTTGCTTTAATTCCCAAGGGTTTTTGAAGCTTACACACGCAACATTACTTCGCATTCTGAAGGTATACAACACCCACCAAAGCAACCATCCTTAGCGCTAACCAATTCAGTACCGCTTGCTTAGTTGCTGGGTTCGATCCAAGTACAGCCATGATGTCAGTGTCTTCAGGGTTCATCATCCGATCCTCAAACAGGACCGCGACCCCAAGAGGAATGTAAAAACCAAGAAGGGATTCATTCAAGATTGTCTCAAACAAAAGTCAAAGTGGAATGGAGGGATAAGCCAGCCCTTTTGCACTCTATTTGTTGTGCCGAAATCAGAGTTTCTCGTAGACCACGGGAGTCGTGCTCTAAAGATTTTGAAGTGGAAAAAATAACAGATAGACTTTCAAAGCCAAGTATCGCCAAAAACGAGCGCCATCAGCAGAGTCAGACTTCAATTCAAGAAAGACTACCATGATACGGTGGTTACAAGTAGGGTGACGTTCCAGCACTTGGCGAAGAGTGAGAATGTGATCAATGCACCCACTACCAGGGTAGAAACTAACCTGAATTCCACTTATCCCATTCTCGCGAGGAGCAGTGTGTCGATGCGTTATGATGCAAGTCAGCCATTTGGACGCAGTTGTGAGCAGACTGACAAAATGATGTTCATACGATATTTTTGGCACTTCCTTACATGGGAAATGCTGGTCGAGAACAGCCAATCCGAGAGCATTTCCAATTTGCCGCAAATAATGCGCACGAACAGTCAAGTCAAGTACCGGGTCATCCCGGTACCTCGGAGACAGCAGTAGGTGTTCTGGATTCGACGTCCTGCTTGGCTTCTTCTTCATCATCGTCATCAATCATCATCAGCAGCAGCATCATCAGCGGCGGCGCCAGCACCAGTCCTTTGTACTTTCACTCTGCCACCATATCACATGACTTACGAGTAGTGACTCTACTGACGAGGAACAATGGGATGGGCGACAAAGGACCTAATCTATTGCTTAACTACCCTAAGTCATCTCTCAGAAACAATGCGCCTGCATATCACGAATACGTGTCGTCACAAGCAGCTTGTTACTGTATGAACAGGAAAAGGCGTCAACCAACTTTTTCGCCTGTGGTTTTAATTTCCCACCGTTACGAACAATCTTGACCCTCAGATAGCTATACAATATGCACTTAACATTAGTAGGCCGATTAACAGAAATCAGCAAACACTCCACTTCCACGGGCTGTGAGTCGTATCATGTAATATCTCGAGCCAAGTATGATTGGGCCGCTTGGATCTCTGTCTGAAAGGCGAGATAAACCAACAGCACCTAGTACAGCCGCCAGGTTAAATTTTGTGCACCAAGAACCGTATACCGTCCAACATCCTATGGATAACACCAGCCACTTTTCACCAAACATCTGTTGGCACTCTACTCAATTTAGTTTTAAGGGGTTTATCGTTTATCAAATTGGCTCAGGCCATTTGATAGCTAGTGGAAGCGAATCCTAACAGTTCACTTGGATTCAAGACTTACAGATGCTAGCCTCGAGGTCTACGGTGGTGCAGTAATTACGTATCCCCGTGGACTAACAGATAAATACTTGTAACAGAGAGATCTTTGTGACTTTCACCTCTATCGCAGCGGTTTGACCTACAGGAGGCAGGGACAAATGACGTTTTTCGGGAATCCCAACACTTTCCTTCGTTTTGTCATTCTGACCCACGATACAATTGCGTGTAGTTCCAACTCATAGGGTCTATTCTGGGTTTGTGACACTCCGATTTAGGGCAGTTGACTTATGTTTCCCACTCATACTTGATGTGACATACTACTACGGTTTTATGGGATTTTCTGCTTCCTGGCAGCGGGGCTGTTTCACGTGAGGTACGAGATCCTACCGAACGGCAGAGGAGTAACTACGCCCCGATTTGATTAAGACCGCATAAATAAGTTTCATTGATGACATTGTCAATATGGTCCTTTCATTTATTTTTCATTTCTACTAGTGACACTCTCAATCAGCTTCAGCACTGCGCATTTCCGTCGAACCCCACTGTTGCGAGACTGCGATTCGAGCCGCACGGTCACGGATGGAGGTCGCACCGGATGTGACTGTACTGGCAGGTGTGAAATAGCCTGCCTCTCTCTGGTGCCGTATGCGTTGTGAAACTTCCTTACGTTACAAGTCAGTTAGCGATTACTTCTTTACTACGAGTAGTAGGAGGATTACGGAATTTCATGTGCGCCGCCACAGTCACATCGGTATGGGGCGCCGCTCATTCAGTGCTTAGCTACATCCATTTCTGCAGTTGCCCTTCAATTTGACTGTGGACATCCACCTGAAATCCGCCCCTACCGAGGGTGCCGAGGATCTCTTAGACTCTGCCACCGACGATCCCATTTACACACTTCACACCCCTTGTTTATTAAAAGTGTGGCTAGGCGACACGTTTTAGGGCACCACGATCGTTCCATAGTTGACCTATCCTTCGTCAGCACGTACGACACCCGGATAGATAAGTCCGCT